AAGACTCAACAAAAACTTACCAAATCAAGACCAAATTCCTGAAAATCTTCCATACTACTAAAAAAAATATTCCCACCTGTCCTAACTTAGCTGTTTATAGATAGGCATAAGCCATTCATGAACCACTTTTGATGTGGCACCACTTACTTAGTATAATGTAGCATTAAAAGTTATACATGCAATAGACTAAAATTAACTCCCACCGAATGAGGTGGTGTAGGATTCTTAATGTAATAACAATACTATCAATTAGTAAATAAGTCTCGCATTTTATGCTTATTCACAGTAAAAAAAATAAAATTTTGCAGATCAAATTATCTTTTTTGAAGAGACATAATTATTTATTTATTACTTTAATAGGAATATAATTCAAAAAACACTTTAATTAAATAGTTTAAATTGTAAAAAATCTTTTTAAGTAGTTTTTTTTTGATCTTATATTTAAAAAAAAAAAACTTTTTTAATAATTTCTTTTTTAGCTTTATTAACTTTAATTATAATTATATAATAGCCATAATTCTATTCATATTAAAAATCTTGCAACCAATATGATATGATTACCCTTTATCAATTTTTTAAAGAAAGGAAACTGATTATAATTTATTGAAATTGATAATAAAAAAAAAAAACATATCTATCAACTAAAACATTCAAGAATAAGTTTTTGCTAAGAAAGTTTACTAACATAATAAAATAATTAAAAATTTATTTTATAAAATTTATTTATTTTTTATTATTTGAATTTTTTAATTTAGTTTTACTGAAATATAAAAAACTTTAATTTTTATATAAATAGAAAAAAAATTTTAATTATATTATTAATTTAATATTACATAATTAAATGTATAAAAAAAAATATAATAGTTGTTAGAAAATATTTTTTTCTTGTTAATTTTTTTTTATAAATGTGATTTTTGATATTTAGTTAAAAGTATTTTTAAAAAAGAAAAAAACAAACAAATAATAATTGCTGATTATTTTACTGGTAAAAATTAATATTGTTAAGAAAAATATATAAATTTTATTACGTATTCTAAAAATGAAAAATATTTAGTAAAAGAATTGCATTCTATAAATATAATATAATTTCTTATTAATATAATTTTTTATTAATATGATTTTCTATCAATACAATAGTTTTTCATTAATTGAAATATTATTATTAAAATCATATTAATTTAAAAGTTAAAAATATTATTTATCGCTAAAGAGACATGCTAAAGAGAAAAATGCTAAAGATACATGATAAAAATATTGTGAAAGATTACCATCACAAGTTCACAATGAGTTACAGTACCATTCTTCTTCCAAGATTTGAAACAAAAATATGGTGAGGAAAAAGAAGATTCAAGACTTGAGAACTAAGAATCTGATATAAGAAATTTTAAAAAGAAATTAAGTCTGTGAGGATGTGTTGACATTGTTGCATTACAAGTTCCAACATCATCTTGCGCAAAAGAACAGAGTACCCCGGTTGATTGTTGATACTGTGATGAGCATTAAACATCTAAAACGTGCAGAAATTGCGAAAACATAAAGGACAATTTTGGTGGAGCAAAGTTTTACAAATGTGACTTTGAGATTGGGGATCACAATGCAGCCCGCAACATCCTCTGAGCCGGGTGACTTGGCGCTGGGACTCCATGCTAACGTTAGTTCTATAGCCGTGACGTTGATAAAAATAATATGTTGTAATACATAGGGTACAATGTAATACGATCTGTCGTACAAAAATATTTACGAACACATAAATTGAGAACGGGTTGCAATTAGGGGGTTTTATACCCTCTGGATGTATGAGTGACCGAGTTTAGAATTTCGGTGAGCACACTCTTCAACTACTAACCATCATTAGATATATAAAAACTCGATTACGTATTCCTAAACGAATGATGACGGATTATGTACCATTAAACACTTCTGAAAACCCACCTTCACCCACGGCCCTTGCCAAGAATAGACAGGAGACAAAGTTCAATTATATTATCTTGTTTTTGTTTCTTGCTATTGGCATAACCGTCTTGTCTACTATTCCTTCGATCATATATTTGACCGGTAATGAATCATGGCAAGAGCTAACAAATCAAACTGATACTCCTTTGGTAGAGCCTCCAGAAACAATAATAGTACCTCCAGAAATGACGAGACAAAAAATTGTCGGCTACTTTACGTCGTGGTCAATTTACGCCAGGAGTTTCAATGTTCGCGACATCGACGCATCAAAACTTACACACATTAATTATGCATTCTTCAATTTATCGCCCGACGGTAAAGTCATTTTCGGCGATCCGTGGGCGGATACAGACAAACATTTTGATGGAGACTCCTGGAATGAAGAAGGAACCAACTTGTATGGAAACTTTAAACAACTGGCTTTACTGAAGCAAAAGCATAGGCATCTTAAAGTTGTTATCTCAATTGGAGGTTATACATGGTCAACAAACTTCGGTTCGGTCACCGCAAATCCAGAGACCCGAAAAACTATGGTTGATTCTTTGTTAAAATTGGTTAAAGATCTTTACATCGATGGTATTGACAGTAAGTCTCATCTAATTATTGTTTGGTCCTACTTTGTTTCGTGGTGGATGTCATACCGATTAAACCTTTTATTTCTTCAGTTGACTGGGAATATCCTAAAAATGAGAAAGAAGGAACAAACTATGTACATTTGGTTCGAGAACTTCGAAATGCACTGAATGATTATGCCGCAGATATGGGAGAAGCTCAACCGTTTCTCATAACTGCAGCACTACCATGCGGACCTGAGAATTACAATAGAATTCCGTTAAGAGAACTTAGCCGATACCTTGATTTTCTTAATCTCATGGCTTATGACTTTGCTGGTTCTTGGTCATCAGTTACAGGTCACCAATCAAACTTGTACGGTAAGGATATTTCCGTTGACAGAGCTGTTAGCGATTATTTGGCTGCGGGAGTGCCACCTGAAAAGATTGTGATCGGCATGCCAATGTATGGTAGAACCTTTGAAAACACAAATGGTCTTG